GCACCCCCCATCAAATCCTCCCCTCCCCCAGAGCCAGGCACCAGAGGAACGGAATGGCCGGGTAAGGGAATCTAACCTTTAAAGTGGCCGCTGCTGCCACCCGGCCCTGCTGCCTCCGCTCGCAGCGTTTAGAGCCGGGAGCACTGAGCCGACTCCAGGTCTCTGTTCAAAAGCCTCATGTGGCCCATAGCAGCGTGCACTTCGCTCCCACCACAGCCCAGCGCCCCTCTAGCATGGTGCCTGGGGGCAACTGCCCCCCCTTCGGTAAGCCTCTGCCCCCATCCCTGTATCCTGTGTCCACAACTCCTTTGAATTCCTCGCTCTCTACCTGCCCTACTAACTCCTCCCCTTGATGCACGTACCCCCTGACATCACTAGTCCCACCCCCTTCAGCAGTGGGTGCACAGTCCGGTGGGTGGCTGACATCTCCCGGCTCGGCGCTCCCCTGGCTGCGGGGCCGGCGCGGACTGTGTGTGGGACAGATTAGCCCCTGGACTAGTGGCTTGGTCCGTCCCATTGAGACATTAGGGTGTGCATAGGCACACCCAGCACACTTTGTGCGCACGCCTATGATATCAGCTAACATGCTTTCTAAAAGTCTAAGGTAGACAACGCAGTGTATACTTTAGCATGTACTAAACTGGCCAAGTATAAGTCCAGACTTTCTCTAGTCTTTAGTACAACCAGGTATTCTCCAGGCTTTAATAGATGTGCAAGGTAAAGTGACTTGTCTAGGCTAGATTTATATAAAAAGTCTTAGTTAACATGCTAACATCACAATTTTAAATCCTAGTTTATACAAGGCCCTATTTATGCCCAACCAATATAGTTTAATATTGTTGGACTGTTATTTTATAATAGTTTTATATAAAACAAAACCATGTTTTTAATTTAGAGGTAACCCACAAGTAAGCATCTACCCACAATTTTACCATGCAAGGGAACATTTAAAAGAGATCATCTTCTATTTAAATCCTGAAGTGAAAGAAGGTAAAAGTAACAGAAGCCACGATCAATAAAACAATGGAAACCTGTTATAAGGAACAACAGGGACAACCCATGTGAACAGCAGACCAAGTAGCTCTATAAAACTGCAAGCTTCCCAAATATGTAGAAACGTACACATACAAGCACAATCTCTATGACTTGCAAGATTTTCACTGTACTCCTTACCATGGTATCAGTGTTTTAATGCTAAGGAGGGCCATCCTACAAAAGACTTTAAAGAACATTTTCTAGAGCTGTGCTGTTCTTTACTTGCAGCCAAGAGGCACTCAAGAGGGTGAGAAATTCTTATCTGTTTCTGAAATGAGTAAAGACATTTCCTCAATCTATCTTTTATAATTTACAGCCTTAATAATTAGTCAGAGGTACGGGCAAGCACAACGTGGAATGGTCGTTAAAATCAAATTCCACTTTTATGTGCTATACTTTCTGGAAGTATTTTCTGGACCTCACAAAGTAGGTTCATATGCTAATATGATAGCAGCCATCTGAGAACAAAACAAAATAAAACACTGGGATACAGAAGTCTACTTATCCACTATTACTTTTTGAGAGCACAGGAAAGTCCCTTGCTATTAAGATCTGTGCATTAGGCCTTAATTTCAACCACTGTATTTCACTTTTATAAATTCAGTTACTGGTTTAATTTAAAATAACTCCAAAACAAATCATGTACAGGCAGTTCCCGGGTTACGTACAAAATAGGGACTGTAGGTTTGTTCTTAAGTTGAATCTGTATGTAAGTCGGAACTGGCATCCAGATTCAGCCGCTGCTGAAACTGATCAGTTTCAACAGCGGCTGAATCCCACTGTATTTCACTTTTATAAATTCAGTTACTGGTTTAATTTAAAATAACTCCAAAACAAATCATGTACAGGCAGTTCCCGGGTTACGTACAAAATAGGGACTGTAGGTTTGTTCTTAAGTTGAATCTGTATGTAAGTCGGAACTGGCATCCAGATTCAGCCGCTGCTGAAACTGATCAGTTTCAACAGCGGCTGAATCTGGACACCAGTTCCGACTTACATACAGATTCAACTTAAGAACCCCAGGCGTCCCCAAGTCAGCTGCTGCTGAAACTGATCAGCAGCTGATTCCAGGAAGCCCGGGGCAGAGCAACTCTGCCTCCGGCTTCCTGTAGTCAG